CGTTCCGCCCGCCGAGGCCGTGACGCCGCAGCGGAAGTGGAGGCGGGTCCTGCCCAGAGCCGAGCTGGGCTCCCCGTGTGCAGGGCTTCCGGGGAGTGGGGGGGTGGGAACGCGCGACAGCTTCATAAATTATGCTTCAAGATTCAAGGGAAGGTATGGATTCTTAAAAGGCTAGGGTCCCATTTCTCTCCCCTCAAGGGGAGATGTAGGAAGTTGTTTCTCTTTGACGACCCCCCAGGATGTCGCAGCTCTTTGCATAAGCGATAAAGCATAAGAATGTGTCCGAGGTTTCTGAAATCACCACTCGGGCCTCCAAAACTCCCACTGCTATCAGGCGATCGAGACTCAGTAAACCCTCCTTTCCCATTTGGGTTTTTGAGGCTGTTAATCTTTCAGGGAGCAGAAAGCTTCACCTTTCCTCTGAGGAGCAACTGTTGGATTTGAACTGCTGACCTTGTGGTTAGCAGCCCAGCACATAACCCACTATGCCGCCAGGGCTCCTCAGGCCCAGAGAGGTAATTCATAACTTCCTCCAGCCACCAAAATCGGACCCATCCTCCACCATGAATTCTTCACTCAGCTTATTTTTTCACTCAGCTTTTTTATGTTGCTGTCTCTAGCCCCATCCTTGCGCTTACATTGTTCACTCTCCAGTTCTTCCCGCAAGAGGCAAGACTTCTGTGTCCTCACAGCCTGCCATTAGTAAACAGTCAGTAAACATAGGTTGTATAAATAAGCCAGCTGCAGTTCCTCTTATGAATTCTTTCAGGAAGGTTTCCCTGGCTGCTCCAACCCATAATGGTCCTTTTCTTAAATTTCCACCACGCTGATAGCTTGTACCTTTTATTGCAATTGTCACATATGCGGCAAGAGAGATCAGCCCTGGGAGAAGGGCATCATGCTTGGTGAAGTAAACAAAACAAAACCCAGTCCACTGCCACTGAGTTAATGCCGACTCAGCAACTCTAGAGCACAGGGCAGAAACGCTCCTGTAACTGTTGATGAGGGTAGTAAGACCCGTCTTTCTCCCGAGGAGCAGCTAGTGGTTTCAAACTGATGACCTTGCAGCTAGCAGCCCAACGAATAACCACTGTGCTCCTGTACAGGTAAACATAGAGCAGCAGTGAAAAAGACCAAGGCCCTGGACAAGATGGCTTGGCACAGTGGCTGCAACAATAGGCTCAAACATAAAAATAGTTGAGGAGGGCCCAGGACCAGGCCGTGTTTTGTTCTGTTGTATACACGGTCCCTCTGAGGTGGCATGGACTCAATGGCTCCCCCTCACAAACCCCCCACAGCAAGACCGTCCACTCCATTAGGGAAGAAACTGCCCTGTCACTGCTCGCTCTCTGCTTTGCTGAGTATATTACAGATGTTGAAGAAATCTAGGTTGCTTGAGTAAAAGAAGGCTGCCACCAGTGTGTGGCCTGATCTGGTCAGACTGCTGGGCCCACGACTATTAGACTGCCGCATAGCTGAAGACCCTTTTCAACAGTAGTAGGCCCATGCTTAAGGAGCCCTAGTGGCACAAAGGGTTAAGTGCTCAGCTACTAACCTAAAGGCTGGCAATTGGAACTTACCCAGGGGCTCCAATGGAGAAAGATCTGCTCATCTGCTTCCATAAAGCTTACAGCCACTCCCCTCTCCGCTCCTCTCCCTTGCTCCTCTCCTCCCCTCCTCTCTCCTGCTCCTCCACTCCCCTCTCCTCTACGCTCTTCCTTCACCTCACCTCACCTCTCCTCTCTTCTATGCTCTCCTCTCCCCTCACCTCTCCTCTCTCCACTCCTCTCCCCTCTCTCTGCTCCTCTCCTCTGCCCTGCCGTCTCCTTTCTCCTCACTGCAATACTCTCTCCTCTCCTCCCCTCTCCTCTGCCCTCTCCTCTCCTGTCCCCTTTGCTCCCCTCCTCTCTCCTACCTCCTCTCCCCTCCTCTCCTCCCCTCTCTCCTGGCTCTCCTCTCTCCTCACCCCTCTCCTCTCTCCTCTTCTATACTCTCTCCTCTCCTCTCCTCTCTCCTCCCACCTCTCCCCTCTTCTCACCTCTCCCCTCTCCTCTACCTTCTCTCCCCTCCTAAAGAAAAAAAAAATATTTAGAAGCTTACAGCCAAGAAAACCTCACGGGGCAGCTACAAGTCGGCACACAACAGCCCCTTGCTTAGAGAGCAACGGAACCAAAGTCATGATACATGTTAGTTACTTAAAATCAGACTCAACATTTAAGTTACTTCTCCAAGGTCGCAAGGAAGTAGCACAGACACCTAAAAAGACATTTAAATATTAGATGTTTACCTTGGGTTTGTATCTGTTTTTAAAAGTCCTGCTCTGTCACACTTTCGGACTCAGCCCCGTTTGTTGACTGAGCAGCAACAGATGGCAGTATGATAAGGGTCCTGAAGGCTCAGATGAGACCCCAACCTAGTAGCTGCAAGGGTTCGTTAGAGATAACCGATTCTGAGAAGCCTGGACATTGGGGCTGGAGTGGAAAAGTGGGAACAAAATCGTGGTGATCACCAGAAGGGCTGGTTCTCTTCCTCTTTTCCTGTTTACATCCCCTGATACTCTCTGGGCCTCAGTGTCCCCATCTGTCGGCCCTGCTCCCGCCTGTGTTATAGGAAGCAAATGTAAGTGCTCTGAACTCCTTAGAGAAAAGCTCTAGAGATAAACGTGGGGTGGAGGGGGAGGAGAGCTGTTAATTTTAGCCTGGGGTTCTCCAGCTGGTACACTGTTTATATCTTGAATCATTCCACACTCCGAGCTGCGCCTGGGAGAGCCCTCCTCCCGGGGGCTTCCCCATTCTCTGGTTTGGTTTGAGACAGTGGTAAGCATTCCAGAAAAATGCTTAAGAGAAGTCTGGCTGAGTCATTTGATGCACCGCCCAGGAGCCAGGGAAGCCTGGTGAGGACAGACCCCAGGGAAGGCCAGTGAGGCATGGCCTCCCAACCTCTGACTCCCCAGAGGGCAATGCAGCCATTGTTTATGCTCCTGGTCCGGTCACTAAGCAGGGACTGCTTGGTCCGTGGTAGTCCTCTGAGACCCTCCCAAACGCCCACAGACCCTGTGTCCACTCCAGGAAGAGTTACCGGTTAGGGCTTGTTCCCAAGTGCTTCCTTGCTCTTCACCCTTAGAGGGACAGTCATTCCTTTAGGACAAGCAGGAGGCTTGGGTGGCCTCCACTCTCTGTCTTTCTCCGCTGTCAGACTTGGGATGGGGAAGAGGGCAGTTAGGGAGAAGGCATGGGTGAGGGCATTCCAGTGTCTTGCTGGTGTATTTTAATTTATTTAAATGCAGACACGCAGCAGTCCAATCAGGCAGTAATTAATTCCCTCTTCATTAGGGGCCTTCCATGTGTGCCTCTTGCATATGTATGAGCTGCGGGGTCACACTGTCCCTCTGATAGTCGCTGAAGGTGATAGAGCCAGGTGTCCCAAAGAGCTCCTGAGGACTTCGCGCTTCTCCCCCAGCTGTGCCAACACCTCTCTTCCTACCTACTCAACCCCCAGCCTCACCTGGAGGACTAGATTATTCCTGGGGGGAAAGAAGAGACAGGTTAGCAAGGCTTCCCTTCCCATCCTCCTCGAATGCCTCCCTCCAATTCCTCCTTGCACCCTCTCAGCGCCTCAGGTGCACCCTGGGGTACTTTCTCCCTTCCTCCAGGGTTGAGGCTGCCACTGCTGCAGGCTGGAATCTTTTCAGGCCCCACCTGGTTGGGCGGATCCGAGCCCGCCCTCACACCTCTGTTTATAGTTGACTTCTCACTCCTTGGCCCCACTCTGCGTCTTTTCCCCTGGAGCAGTCTGTCCCCTGCTCAGGGAGTCTGACGCCCTGCAAGCACACACTGCTCAGGTACTGAAAAATACGCCCTCCCCGCCACAGGCACGGAGGCACACTTCCCTGGCTACACAGCAAAGCTCCCAAACGCCTAAAACACACACCTACGGGCACAGACACCTCCCCGTTGCTTCTAGCTTCAGAGATAAACACCCAGAACCATGTGCAGTCCCAGGTGTCCCAGACAGGCACACACACCAGTCTGTCATCCATCCTCCCCGGGGCTACCCCATTTCCAGGGAGCAAGTGGGGCACAGATTGGGGGGTGGGGAATGGGACCTGGGTGGTTACCATGGCAACGGAGCCGAGCAACAGTGGAGGAGAGGCTGCTGTGTGAGCTTTGGCAGGGCTGCCACTGGAGATACAAACCTAGGATTGGGGACTCTGAGTGACTGACCCCAGCTGGGCAGCCTGGACTCCCTCCCTTGAACACAACTCTTGATTCCACCCCTTGTAGCCCCCCAGCGCCTTCTCTCTCAGAGCAGGCAAGGTAGAGAAAGCCAGCGTTCCCACAAGTCTTCTCATGCTGCGCAGTTTTGGGGGTGCAGGCACGGTGGGGGGGGGAGTTTACGGGGGAAGCTGAAAATAAACAAGCCAGGCTGCCTCTTTCCTGGGGCTCCCTTTCATCTCTCTGCCCTTGCTCCAATTCCCTCTTCTCCCTCGTCTGTCCGTCCTTCCGCTCACTGCATTGGCTGTCTCCTCCATCAGTTTCCTCTCTTCTGCCTCGTTCTCATGGTCTCTCTTGACCTTCCCTGGCAAGGAGCAAGCAAGCTCCTCTTCCCAGAGCTGCTCCTGCCAGTCTCCCTCCTTTCAACCTGTCCCAAGCAAAAGCCCCAGCTCTGGGCCAGGTCACATCTGGTCTGCAGGATTGTGCCATCTCCCCACCCCATCCTTTCCTTCCCTCCGGCCTTTGCCCCTTCCCACCCTTCCCCTCCCCTCGCCACAGGGGTCAGAAAGCAGAACCCAGGGACTTGAATATCTTGCAAAGGCTTTATTTGAAAATTTTGGAAACTTACATCCCACAAGAATTCAAGATTATCACCACAAGAAGAAGAAAGAGATAATACAAAAATATATATCACAGCATAGGAGCCAGGTAAGAGGGGAAGGAGGAAGGAAGGCAGAGGCTGTGAGAAGTTAAGGTGGAAACCTGAGGAGAGGGAAATGGGGGGCGGAAGGGGGGGGGCGGGCGGGGAGAGAAGACAAAGGGAGGGAAGAAGGGGACTGAGGAAACCCAGCAAGGGAAGGGGTCATTTTGGAAGCAGAGCTCCGATGGCCTTGAACCAGCTGGCTCCATCCCTGGCAGCTGCAGAGGCGGACTTAGGGGGGCCCTAAGGCAGGCTGGGGAGTGGAGGGCCGGTTCAGGGAGCTCCCGGACAAACACACGGACAACAGGACAGACAAACACAAGGGCCTTAAGAGGAAGGGTCGGACCAAGGGGAGCCCCTTTCTCCCGGAGTACAGTAGGTGGCTTCCCCCAAACCCAGGTCTCGGACAACAGAATGTAGCAGTGGGGTGGGGAGAGGCGTTTGGAGCCCGCTGGGTAATGAGCTGAGCGCACACCCCTGGAGCAGGACGGAAGCCGGTGCAACCCATGGCCTGAAATGGGATGGGGCCGTGGCAAAGGAGGGCCAAGGGGTCCCTGACACACTTCCCACCCATGGACAGGGTAGCATGCAGGGGCCACAGACGAGACCAGTGGGGGTCCATGAGAGGGAGAGTAAGCACGACACGCAACAGCACACGCAACAGGAAATGCATGGGGGATGGGGAGGTGGGTGAAGTGTGCATGGACCAGGGGCCCAGATGGGAGAGAAGAGAAAGCCTGAGACACGTGGAACGAGAGGGAGGATGGACGTGGGGGACTAACTGATGGGACAGGTATCGACTGACACAACCAGGGTGCCGAAGACTGGCCGCACATAGGCCTGGCCGGTGAGGGTGAAGGTGAGTGTGCAAGGCTTCCATGTGAGTGTGCAAGGGTAGGAATGAGGGACCAGGAGCCACCGATGTATGAGGCCCCCCCACCTCCAAGAGGGTGAGCAGGTAGGTTTGCCTACATGGCCAGGGAGCATTCCAAGAGGGGGCGGTGCAAGGGAGCACCTGTGCCCCCCCTCCGCACAGCTCCCCCACCCTCATGGGGTGAGGGCTATGATAGCCCCTTGGCCTCCTGCTTGGCAGCCCCCCAGGACTGGGGGAGCATCACAGATTCACCAGAGGGATCCTGAGAGGAAGAGGGAAAGGGTACAGTCAGGGACCAAGGGGCAGGTCAGAGTCAGCTGAGAGGGCTGAGGCGAAGGGGAGTCGGGGTTAGAGGGCACAGCTGGAGCTAAAGGACAGTAAAGGAACAGGACACAGGGCAAGACAAAGTCGGGGAAGAGGAAGAGACCCCCAGACAGGAGCTGGTCCGTCCCCTGGGAAGGAGAGCCAGGGTCTGGGGGGCGGGGGGCTATGACTGTCCCTTCTCCACCCACCCTGTGAAGACCGGACCACCACAGCTCAGGACACCTGAGTTGCCTTCCCACCTCCCCCCACCCGACCCCCTCAGCCCTTTGCCCTTGCCCTCACCGGTTCAACTGGAAGGCTGGAGCCCCTTTGGGCTGGGGCATCCCAGGTCGGGGTCCCCCTCGGGGCTCCTCGTGGTCAGGGGTGGGGATGGGCGAGTCCCCGAAGGCCCCCAGCACAGTGACTCCAGCAGGGGACAGGTCTGTCAGCGGCTGTTGGCTCTCTTCCTGCCTCAGGGCACCTTGCTGTCCTGAGGGTCTTCGCCGCTTCTGGCTGCGGTCCCAGCTGGGGCACCAGAAGGGGAAAAGGGCTCTCTCACACAGAGTACACCCTCCAACTCTGGCCGATGGCCCTGGTCACCCCCAGCCTCACCCAGGTACTCCCAACATCTGCTTCCAACAGTTCCCTAGCCAAGTCTGGGGCGGTGTGCCCCGGAAACCATCCCCCTACTCCCAGAGGGCTCAGGGCCAGTGTTCCCAGGGCTGGGCCTCCACACCTCATTCTGATCCAGATCGCAGCAGGAGTGTCCTCTACCCACGAAGGCACAGGAAAACGCCCCCACCCCCAACCCCTACACATCCCAAAGAGCCACTTCCTCCTCAGCAGGCACCTAGCAGGTTTCCTTCTAGTTCAAAGTCAGCTAATGACCCGAGGACGGTGAGTAATGATTCCCTCGCCAACGTGTGAAGGACTGAGTGCCCCATTATTAAAGGTGCGCAAAGGAAGAGCCAGGTTTTCTCCCTCTTCTGTCAGTTTCAAAGGCTGGGTCAGTTTTTTTCTGCCTGCCTGGGAGGGAGTGGTACCCACCCCAGTCAGCAGGCTGATTCCAAGTCCTGCTAATAACCCCAAAGTAGAATTGCCCCCCACAGTTTCCAAAGCTACTAGTCTTTATGGAAGCAGAGCGCTTTAGTCAAAAGGCAAGCACTTTAAGCCCTGCACCACCAAAGCTCCTCCCAAAGCCTGTACTCCCTAGAGCTCCCGAGGCTCTTCAGCCCCGCCCCCCCCCAGACAGTCTGACTTGATTTTGCACTGCTCCATCCTTTCAAAGCCTCACTGCATTTTCCTAAAGCCTGGCCTTACACCACTGTGTCTTACTCCTCTACCAGTACCAAGATCGCTGCCCTTACTTCCTTTCTCCTTCCCGCCCAGACGTTCGAATCCAGTCCCCATCTGCCAGCTCCCCCCCCCCCAACTTACCAGAACTTGAAGATGATGCCCGTGGCCACAAGAACAATGATGATGGAGATGGTGATTGTGACATAGAGCTGGGGGTCCACACCTGGTCGGGGGAGGAGAAAGTTTTAGGGAGGCTTGAGGTGGTAGGGCAGGGCACTTGTGAGGAGGAGCGGTGGAGCACATCTCCATGCTGGCCCCACCCAAACCACTGGTCCTAACCCTCCATCCTCCCTGAGCTGAGACTTCTCCCCTTCATCCCACTGTTCCCCTGCCCGGAACAAACTACTCTTTTCTAAAAGTCAAATGTCAATTCCTGGATGGTTTCCGGCTGGGCAGGCAGAAGCAATCACTCCTTTTTCTGTTTGTTTTTCTAAAGATATGCTGTACATGCCTCTCAAACTCAAGAAACGCACTGCTACCGTGTCGATGCTGACGCATGGAAACCCTATGGGGCAGGGTAGACCTGCGCCCGGTGAGTTTCCGAGGCTGTTACTGCTTACAGGAGTAAAAAGCCCCATCCTTCTCAGAGCGGCTAGTGGGTTCGAACTGCTGACCTTGTAGGTCACCACCCAACTCGCAACCCACTAAGCCGCCAGGCTCCCTACATCATGAATGACGTAGACTCATTCTGAGCGGTAGACTCATTCTGAGCGCTTATATATCTGTCTTTTCCAATGGCCCTGGGCTCGTTGGGGGCTCGGATGGCATTGTCCTCATCTCTGCAGCCTGTGCCCAGTGTGAACACTAGTCCATATGTTGAAGGGGCTAACAGACAAAGCCCCTATTCCTGCCCCTAAAGTTCTTCTTTTTTATCATTTTATTGGGGGCTTCTACATCTCATCACAATCCATACATACATCAATTGTGTAAAGCGCATTTGGACATTCGTTGCCCTCCTCCTCAAAACATTTGCTCTCTACTTAAGCCCCTGGCATCAGCTCCTCATTTCCCCCCTCCCTCTCCACTCCCCGCTCCCTCATGAACTCTTGATAATTTATAAATTATTATTATTTTGTCATGTCTTACACTGTCTGACGTCTCCCTTCACCCACTTTTCTGTTGTCCGTCCCCCAGGGAGGAGGTTATACGTAGATCCCTGTAAGCGGGTCCCCCTTTCCCCCCCCACCCTCTTTCCACCCTCCCGGTATCACCACTCTCACCACTGGTCCTGAGGAATCATCCGCCCTGGATTGCCCCTTAAATTCTTTAACCCACCTTCCCACCCTCACATCCCTACCAAGCTCTCCCACTCACCTTCCCCACGGCCCCCAAACAGGAATGGCCGCAGGGTAGCTGGTGCCTCTCCAAGGATGAGCCCATCTCCATCACCCCGCATGGAGTCGGAGTTGGGGTGGGGGGTAGCCAGCCCATGGGGGGCAGCAAAACCATAGTCCAGAGGCAGAAATCCAGGATTGGCAGAGTTGGGGTCTCCCCCATCCTCTCGAGAGACTGTGGGGCCCCACACAATAGCCCAGGGGTACTGGGAAGAAGGGGGCCCCTCCTCAAAGCCTGATGGGGTGGCAGGGGGCGCAGTGCCTGGCAGGACTTGCCTGCGTGATCTTGGGACCCTTGGGGATCGGCTTGGTGGGGGTGCCCGCTCCCACACACATACATGGCGTGGCGCCGACGGGCCTCCCCGGGCACATGGAGGGCGGGCTGGGGCTGGGGGGGTCCGAGGGGAGGAGGAAGAGCCCTGGGCAGGTAGCAGGAGAGGCAGCAACAGCAATGGCCAGAGAGGGAGGAGGTGGGATAACATCAGTGCAGGCCTGCAAGAGGGAGAGAAAGTGAGTGAGCCCCAGGCCCCAGCTGGGTCTGGCTATAGGAAGGGCAGGCTCATACCAGAAGTCTGGGCCGCCAGGGGTTCCTGTAGGTATCCCCTACCCCACCCAAACAGGTGGGCCCTGGGCAGAGTCTGCCCTCATTTCCTATCCCACTAGTCTGGAGCCCTGGGTGAAAGACCTTGGGTGGGCACAAGGTGAATGGGCTCCAGGCTTCCCTGTGCTGGGCCAAACTTACCACATCCTGGGCTCCATGTCTGAGGTCTTCCTCAGCTGTGACCCAGATTTTCAGCCTTTACTGGGGGAGGCGGAAGGGGACAGTCACACTCCAAGCCTGCCCTGTGGAAGTCCTCAGCTCATCCATCCATCCATCCTTACCCCTGTGTCTCGTCCCACACCATACCTACAATCTACCTAGCCAGCAGCCGCGCTGCTGCCACCCAGAGCCCCCCCACTCGCTTCTTCACAAGATTTTGAAGAATAAACCTCCCAGAGTGGCTCTCCACCCCATGCCACCCCCAACCCCTATCTCCAACTTCCCAGGGCCCTGTTACCTCCCCACCCCGGGGTCTACTCTCCCCTCGGCAGCTTCCTTCCTCACTGCCTCTGCCAGCAGCTCCGAGCTTTCCTTAGATCTTAATTTAGAGTCAAGAACCTTGTGATTCCTTGAGCACCTACCGCTAGGGAGGGAGTCTGAGGGTTGGGGGGTGGGAAGGGGAAGAGATTGGCAAGGGGGAGGGAGGAGCCTGCCCATCCCACTTGTAGTCAAAGGCATTTCTCCTTAGACTGGCTCCAGAAGCCTGCTTCTTCCAGGAGGAGGCGGAGGAGAGATGGGAGAGACAGTAAAAGGTGGGTGGGAGAAAACTACAGGATGTGTAATCGTCCAAATACACAGGTGCCCTGGGAAGGGAGGTAAAGTTGGGGAGAGGCCACCTCACACATGGAGCTGCCTGGGCAAGGCATCCTGGAACCACTGGGGTCCATTGGCTTTGAAAAAGATAGAGCATGTTCTCAGAGCCAAGGGATGGACCGCCGCCCCCACCCCCTCCAGGGACCAGGCTCCCCAGAATGAATGAAGCTATGCTACCCTGTGCCCCCTGGAACCTGGGTCTAAATCTGTAGAGTGCGTCGCCCCCAGGATCACAGGGACACAGATGGGAATGGGCAGGGAAATGGAAATGGAAGTAGGCGGTGGGAAGAAGTGGGAAGAGGTGTGAAGGGATGAAGGGCTGGGGGTGGGGTGGGGGGCAGGGAAAGGCTAGTTAGGAGTGGGGAGGGGGGCGGCGAGAGGATCGTGAAGAGAAAGCGGCCCTAAAGTAGGTGAGAGCGAGGCGTCTGCCCTGAAGGAAAGTGGAGTGGAAAGCAGAGGGGAAACCAGGGTCCAGGGAAGGGGTACCGAGGGTACCGAGAAAGTCCGAATGGCCAGGATGGAGAGGTCACAGCCGAGGAAAAAGAAAGGACGGAGGGTGGGGATAAGGGTCCAGGTCAGATGGAGCCGTGGAAAGAGGGGATGGGGAAGCGCCCCCCACCCCTCAAGGCCAAGGATGGGGAGAAAGAAAATGGAAACAGAAAGGGCTCAAGAGCGGAGGAAGCAAATGAGCCCAGGAAGGGGCTCAGAAATCAGAAACAACAAAGATGGAGGAGTTGCGAATTATTTCTTCACATTTCAAGGGAGGTGGAGAGACGGCCGGCGAGGGGAGAGGTAGGCAGGGAAAGAGTCGAGCCAGAGGGAGGAGTGTTAGAGCGAACCAGTGAAGCGGAGAAGGTCTCCCGCGGACGTCTGAGGCTGGTCGACTGCAGGACTCGGTTACCCCTCCGACTTGTGCACCCCCCGCACCTACCAGCATCCCCTCCAGCCGGGGACCCTGCACCCCTATTAGCCACCCCTTCCAGGAAGCCCGCAGTCCCCAGGTCGGCGCCTCCCCCATCCTCTCCTCTGGACTCACAGACCTGTTGTGCGCAGGAG